TAGACAACCGCTGAAGTACTGACTAAACTGCATTTTTTCAGGTGTCTGAATTGGCCCATCACACCAGAAGTCCAGGTATTAACCGCAGTTAAATATTAACTGCAGTTAAATATTAAGGCATTGAAGCTCATTAAGCTCAATGGCGCTGCGAGCAATCATCACGTTTTTAACTTTAGGACTAACAAATCCAACATACTGATCAAGGAATTGACTGTTGTATACTAACTGACTCCGGGCACATTTTATGATGCTTAATTAAAAAAAAGGCATTTCATCATAGCATTTGTATTTCAAAATAAACTTTTGGCATCCTTAAAATTTATTAAAGAGATTTTAAAATAGTCAGGGAAAGATATATGGAACAAAAAAGTACCCAAGATGTGTACTATGCACAAAAGGCATGCTCTTCTTCAAAGAAATTTTTGCATGCATGATTTGCTACTTGTGGTTGTTTAGTATTTATTTTACTATCTGTTTGATTTTTGTATACCACTTCTACTCCAGCAAAACTGTCGTGTTTGTATGCTTAAACACAGATTCCTAGAACAGTAGAGCAGATGACTATTTAATTGAAAATAATGACACACATTAATTTTCTAACCTGTAGGGGTACTAAAAACTAACTTCAGATTAGCTATGTAAATCACAGACAGTAACAGTTGTTTCTATCTGCTTGTGGGACAATAGCATACGCTGTCAAACTTGATTTAATTAAAAAGTCTGCACAGTCAAAACCAGCATGATGCATGACATTTTTGTTCAGGATTTTTTGCTAAGAAATGAGGATTCCAATAGGCCGTGTCTGTAAATCATTCTGGTAAAGAAAATAAACTGCTCCAGATTTTCCTTAGACATGTTTCCTTCTTGGGAATTTTTTAACTAACATATTTTCCAAATGGCTAATTTGATTTTTCTCAACTTGAAACCTTTTATGAAGAAATTTACTAATTAAAATATACAGTTTCTCCAAATCCCAGATTCGTTTTTAGTCAAAACCATCTTTCTTCCGTGGTTTTTCTTTTTTAATGAAAGGTTTAAAATGTTTATATTGTTTAAAATTGATATATTGTTGCCTGAAAGTTCCCTCTCTGGCATACCTCTATGGCTGAAAGCAATTTACAGAATATTTGGCCAGAAACTGAGACCAGCCAACCTTATTTGTCAGAATCAACGTCTAAGTAGCTTTCCTATTTGCCAAAGAGAGTGGTAGACTGTCCTTAATGGTTGCTGGAGATGTAAATGAAACATCATGAGAAACAAACGGACCACAAATGCACCCCATTTCTCAACTCTGCTGAAAAGGAAATGGCAGTAGGCAGGCAAGAAGAGGAAATTTTCTAAGACTTTATTCCAGCAAGACTGACCCAGCCAGAAGATAACGGGCACTGCTGAGCATTATAGATTAAAAGTTCCTGTTCATGTTTATGGGAAGACGGCTTCAGCAAATGCAAACTAAGTTATACCTGTCAGAAAGACACAAATTGTATAAAGGGGTAGGGAACCATCTCAATGCTGAGCTCAAAACAGTCTTTCAGTGGGCCTCACGTTAACATACAGCTGAGTGCCACTCAATAGTAATGTGAAAAACATCAGGCTACCGAGGGTTGCCAAAACATGATCTGATGTTGTGCATTCAGCCCTGAGGCTGTAGATCCACTTCCTTAACTAAATAAATCAGAGGACATCTGTTTCTGACAACAGCACTAAAAAAGTATTTCCACTGATCTTTGCATTTGAGAGGAAAAAATATCTAGAAGACTAAATATAATACAAGTGTCACTACCTTAAGAAGTCTGTAATATGAGGAATGGACATATCCTTTTCCTGGAGGCAATGAATCAAGTTAAGCATCAATTTGGATCACAACTCTCCCAGAGAAAGTCCCAACTTGTTGGACCAGCTTTAGGAAGGAAAGAATTTAGACAAGTCACATTCCAGTTTATCCCATCACAGGATCCCAGAATGACTGAGGTTGGTAGGGACCTCTGAAGCTGACCTTGTCCAACTGCAATTCAAGCAGGGTCACTGTGTCCAGACAGCTTTTGAGTATCTACAAGGATGGAGACTCCATAACCTCCTTGGACAACATGGGCACAGTGAAAATATGCTTCCTGATGTTCAGACAGAGCCTCCACTGTTCCAGTTTTTACTCACTGCCTCTTGTCCTGTCACTGGGCTCCTCTGAAAAGAGCCTGGCTTTTTGCACCCCCCTTCAGGTATTTATACACATTGATAAGATACCCCAAAGACAAGAAAGAATTTCTCAAGGCTGAACAGTCCCAGGTCTCAAAACCTTATGTCATAGGAGAGGTGCCACAGTCACCTCATCACGTTTGTAACTGAACTTTTCCCAGCATGCCCATGTTTGTCATGTACTGGGGAACTTAGAACTGGACCCAGTACTCCAGGTGTGACCTGTGATGATTACATTCCTGTTCATCCCATGACGATGTTACAGTGATGTCCTCTGGTCTGTGAAAATCACTTTTTTTTAACTCCGTGTTGAAGGATGTATTTTCATTTATGTATTCCATTTCCATTGATTAGAAATGTAAAGATGAAGGGAAAATGGATTCTCTTTCATCCACTACACCAGGAATGCCTGGTTTTAAAACCAGCTTTTTGTAAAGTGATGCACAACTATGTTCCAACAAAGGTAATTTCCCCAATACTTAACAACATAATCGGTATAATTTAGAGTAAAAAGGTAAAACAGTTTAGTTTTATAAAAAAAACCCAAAGACCTGAATTCACACCTTCTTTTGCCTCCAGAAAATATCTGTAAATTAAGCAACTGGAGAATACTGATGTAACTATTACGGGACCTCAGAATAAATTCTCTGGGGTTTTCTTCTCTATGTGGAAAATGAGGTATCAGGAGAATTACAGTAAAACAAAAAGCAAACATCATCCTGAGCAATAGACAACATATTTAAACCCTTTCCTCTTGAAGCTGCTACCAAATCCTTTTTCCTATATTAAAGGTCATTCAAAAACTGAACATAAGGAAATAGATTTTGGTAGCCTAAAACCTTTTCTAGCTTTTAATTATAAAATGCTACAATGAAAATTATGTATCATAGTTCAAGAATTATTTTGAAAATTTATGCTCTCCTTGGTTTATCATTATCAATCTACTGAATAATCTACAGATCTTTTCTAACGAATACGTATTTGTCTAATATTCTTGAAAAAAGCATTAATCAAATATCACTTTCATTTATTTAATTATTTTTTTTAACCTGAAAAACATGTTAATCATTAATAGATCCTAATTGAGTATGACTATTATAATGGCAAATTCTTCTATGTTCAGCCTGGAGAAGAGAAGGCTGCGTGGAGACCTCATAGCAGCCTTCCAGTATCTGAAGGGGGCCTGTAGGGATGCTGGGGAGGGACTCTTCATTAGGGACTGGAGTGACAGGACAAGGGGTAATGGGTTAAAACTTAAACAGGGGAAGTTTAGATTGGATATAAGGAGGAAATTCTTTCCTGTTAGGGTGGTGAGGCACTGGAATAGGTTGCCCAGGGAGGTTGTGAATGCTCCATCCCTGGCAGTGTTCAAGACCAGGTTGGACGAGGCCTTGGGTGACATGGTTTAGTGTGAGGTGACCCTGCCCACGGCAGGGGGGTTGGAACTTGATGATTTTAAGGTCCTTTCCAATCCTAACTATTCTATGATTCTATGACTCCCACTAAAGAACTATGTCTCTCTCCTTTAAGAACTATGGAGGAGCTATTCTTAAACTCTACTAGTGCAAAATGCCCAAGTTCTGGCCTGGACAAAGGTCGCAAATGAAAGCTGGATTTAGATCTTGTTAAACCACATAAAAATAGAAGTTCAATAGTCATATATTTATTTTTTTTCAACTCATGAGGACATGAAGATAGATATCAGAGTTGTTGTTTTAGCTTTAAATTCAATTCGTCTTAAATGGACACAAACCAAAATTATAGCTTCTTGTTGACTAACCACAAAACACAGCTTTCCTTTAGACAACATTATAGCATGTGGAACAAGAATTAAACCTTCTCTTTCAGTGAGCAAAACCTGAACAAAGTTGTGCAAAGTTGTGCATTTCATCAGAACAGTTTTAGTATCAAATTGAAAAGATGGTGTGACTATTAATAAAGATTCTGCTGTTTAAAGACAAAAATGCTGAGATGTTCAGATTGAATTTCTGCATAGTATTTATCTTTGAACACCTAAAGAATGCTGTAATCACAAATATTGTTACTACAATTCCTACTCATTGAAATCAATAGGAAGTTATACGAGCAACCATTTGAGAAAACGGAATGGAGAACACCACTATGCCTTCACCTTACAAAAAACATAGTTTTCCATCTACTATATATCTGGTTTCTAATCATCAAGAAGAGAGTGGGTAACATAAAATAAACAAGAATCCTCCAGCTCCATGGTATATAAGGTTTATCAAAGTAATGGTCCTAAAATATCTCTGATGGGATGAGAATTTCTTTGGAACACACCCACAATAAGAGCCGATTTTCTTGGATAAGAACAATCTGTTTAAATAATAGTTTCTTGTGGCCAAACGGAAGGTCAGGGCAGTGCAAGAATAGAACTGTGACTGCACACTACAGATGCTACAGACACTGGGAAACCTCTCATGTATTAGGGAATTTCAGGGACAACAGATGGACATATTTGGATCTGCTGAGCATTCATGCTTCCCACTGAACTGTTTATTAACTTCATGAGTACACCAAAAGTCTAAAAAAGCAAATACACTTACAAGACTTTTCTTTCTCACAGGAAACAGGCTCTTTCATGGTTTCATTTCAGGTAGAATTATAGGATGGAAGCCTTAATGGAGATGTTACTCAAAAGAAACAGTTGAAATAGATTATTTCTGCTTTTGCCATTAATGTGTGCTTAGGGAAACATTTACAAGTGCAAGTGCTTAATGAATGGGAAAAATAATTGCCTCTAGCAAGTAATGCAGTGTGACATTAAAACAACTTAAAGAACTCACCGATTCTTTTCTGCTCATAGTTTTGCTTTGGGAACGGGAGCGGGAGATTGTATTGAAAAAGGAATCCTTTTTTGATGCAGACAAAGGTGGAGATCCTGTAAATTCACGTCCTCCAGACAAGCTCTCTATGCTTGGAGATGAACTGATGTTTTTTGAACTTTGGCCTGTAAAGCAAGTATAAAGTAACAAAAGAATTAATCAATGGGCTGTTCCTTTTCCCTGTAAATACTTCCTTGTCTTAACTGACATTCACTAAGATTCACAGGTAGCTCAACACAGAATGAAATGTTGAGTGTGTCAGCATGCACTGTGAGATTGAAGGACTACTCTGACACAGAATAGTGTATATATAGATACACAGACAATTACAGATACATAGATACGTACACAAACACACAGTATCCAGAGTGTGGATGCTAAATTATATATATATATATATATATATATATATATAATCAATATAAATACCATTTTAATTTATATACCCACAGGCTGAAAACCACCTCTTGCCTGTGTGGCATGATGAGTACCAACTCATAATAAGAAAAATAATCCGATGTCATAAACACTGCAAAGGAAACCCTTATTGTCTCAACAAATAAACTATAAAACTTGGCAAAGACAGTTAAGAACAATAATGTCAGATTCCAAAAATGGGTTGGACACTGAACATCTAGATGACAATATCTAGGCTTACAAAATGAAAAAGTAAATTAAGTTTGGGAAAGAAAGAAAGTTCTCATGCTTCACATTTTAAGGCCATCTCTAACTAACAGACATTTTGATGAAATCTACCCACGAGTTGCTTTTTGTCATTTCATGCAGCTTTTCAAAAGAATCTAGTGTTGTCCACTGTCGTAGTGAAGACATCAGAGTAGATGCCTGGGCTGTTACACCACAACACTGCATGCAGGCAATCTTTTGTAAGGACCATTTCTTCCAATTGAGGCCCACGGCATGTTTTGAAATATTTAATTTAAAATTTTATTTTGATTAGCTCCGGAAGAAAATAAACCAAACAATTAATATGCCTGTTTTCATTAACTTTCATTAAGAAAGTGCTGAATTAGGACAGGTGCTAGTTTAAAGAAACCTTTCTATTATGTGTATGAGGAAGTCAATCTGGAGTCAGCCAATGCAGTTCTAGAATTTTCCACTCTGAAAAAAATTAAACTAAAGCTCTAGAATTCTTCCCTTCTCTTGTTTTGTGCACTATTCTGATGAGTTTGCGTTTGTTCTTTTTCCTTTCCTTTGTTTTTAGTGCTACCATCTAAAGAATTAAGAATAGTCCTCTGAAATCAAATCACTCAGATGTCTCAGGTGCAGCTTCATCTCCTTTGCAAGGTTGTCATCGAATTCACAGAAACCAGTAGTTTCCCACCATCTACACCAGCTTTACTCCCAGATAAGCAACAGATTACCGCAAAGACCTCGCAATGTATTTAGTCTTTTGTCATTGTGGATGCACTACCAGTTCTGAAAACACAAAACTAACTCCTTTTCCAGAATGGGTTACTGTTCCCTTCATTATGCACTGTGGTCTTCCCCTACGAGACAGGTTTCTAGAGGGTAAAAGAAAACTAAAAGACAAAGAAATGAGAGAATAGAGGCAGAAAATGCTTCAGAAAACACAGAAAGAAATTTAGATTTAGATACAAGAGGAGACCAGCTCTGCTAAGATCAAACATGTTAAACCAAAGGAAACAACTAGAAAAAGTTACTCACACAGAAACATCTCAAGTCACTTAAGATCTAGAACAGTAACTGTCCCCAAAGCGGCATGGAAGTCAGTGGTGCTGTGGTTGGCCACCTGACTGGCGGTGACAAAGCTAAGTTCTCAGTGGTGTCTGACCTACACAGCATATATTGCACAGCTGCAGCCACATGAAACCAGCAACTCACATTTTCTTAAGAGAATAAATGCAGATCTACTTAAAATGTCCTCTTAGCAAGAAGACTGTTAAATGCCAAGAGACTGAACTGCCAAAATGTCACATGACAAAACAGACGAAAAAAGGACAAAATGCAACAAAGGATCTAGGTTTAATGTTCTTGACTTCTTCTGCAAGAAAATCAGCATATAAAGTGCTTCCCACCTTCTCCTTCATTCTCTTCTACCTTATTTTGCTCATCTCTCCCTTATTATGCCCTGCTTCTCATACCCCTGCGGACCTTCCTCTGTCTACCTCTCCTCTTCTTCAGATTCTTCCACATTGCCTCTTCTGCTTCAAGTTCCTTATTCCAACTTCTTCCATTATATATTGTTTCCTTCTCACCAACTTAATTAACTACTTTTTAATGTTTCTTCTTAGCCCTCCTCTAGTTAGTTACCACCTATCACTTAGTCTGAACAGCTTCCTTAAAGTGCAGGAGACAGAGGCTTAACTTCTGCCTTCACATTTTATAAAGAAACAGGGTATGCATTAATCATATGAATATGCATCTTCAGTTCTATAAGTGTAAGTGGAAAAGGAGAATACACTGCGTGGCAAACGGCAATAATATTTATGTCAGAAGGAAGTTTTTTTAGAAGATTTCTAATTTTAGGATAAAATCATGCCACTTGGCAACACCATTATCCTTACAGTTGCCTTTACATAAGAAGATGACTTTTTAGGCATTTCATAGGCAATTTACAATGGAACTGTGGTTTTACAGTAGGTAAAACTTAAAAATAGTTTGGAACAGATGGAATTACATATTTTAGCAAATAAAGCATTTTTAAAAGAAATTCACACAGCTAAGACAGAGCAGCCAACATAAATGCTAAATTTAAAAGAAATCTATTTCGTGGACTGAGTAAAGTACAATGAAAAAGTATTTTATTATGTATAAATCAGATTAAATGGACTTTCTTTTCCATCCAAATAATAAGAAGATAACTTCCACGTAGGATGAAGATTAAAAAATCCCCAACCAAAAAAAAGAAAAGAGTTAAATGATGAACAGTGCATGTTTTTCACATATGTCTCCACTTCATGGCCCATGCTTAACCCACTTCACCTGCAAAGAAGCAGATTATGTGTTAAAATTTCATCTAATTTGAGAGAGAGACACTTTAAACATATGTGAGGTACCGATGCACATGAAATAAAGAGTTTGGTAAAATGACGGAAAACATGATTTGTAGGGAATTTTTCCTCTGTATATTCTGTCTTTCAGTTCTAAGGAAAAAAAGTCCAAAATATAACAGGAAATTGAAAAGACAAGAGAACGATCCTTATGGCCACCACTTTACTTACTAAATAGCTACTCTTCAAAAGATTGATCAAAGTTTAGAGGAATGGAATATACAACTACCTGCATAACCAAACAGGAGAAGAAATATGTATAGCTGAGATTTCGTGGACAGAACAACACAACTGTCTTAAAAGGGAATTTGCTCAAGTAATACAAAGAGCTTTGACTTATCTGGTTCTTATGGACCATAAAATATAACAAGAATGAAAAAAAAAAGCAGTACAAGATGGAAAGAAAGCAAGATACAGATTCAGTAAAACAGAGGTGATAAAGATACTATTTCTGTATGTTTTATACACAGGTAAGAGGAACATTTAGGATGCACCTTATCCTCCTTCATGAATAAGCAAACCTGAGAAAACTATCACCAGGAAACACTAGATTTTTATTCAACTTCAACCATGTGAACAGTGCTATGACACTATACGATTATCTGGGGATGTGATCAAGAATTAAGCAAGACAGAAAGAATAGCACTTATGAATAATTACAGTGTGTTGCAAGTCAGCAGAGTTCTTGGGATCAATTTCCAGGGGAGTCATCTTTTCTACAATTGTAAATAAGAAAGTGGAAAGACAAATCACACCAATCATCATTCGGTTGATACGCTGGAGGGAAGGAATGCCATCCAGAGGGACCTTGACACGCTTGTGAGGTGGGCTGATGCCAACTTTATGAAGTTTAATCATAACAAGTGCAAGGTCCTACACCTGGGTCAGAGCAATCCCAGGCACAGCTACAGGTTGGGCAGAGAAGAGATCCAGAGCAGCCCTGTGGAGAAGGACTTGGGGGTGTTGGGTGATGAGAAAATGAACATGAGCCGGCTGCAGTGTGTGCTTGCAGCCCAGAAAGCCAACTGTATCCTGGGCTGCATCAAAAGGAGGGTGACCAGCAGATCGAAGGAGGTGATCCTGCCCCTCTACTCTGCTCTTGTGAGACCTCACCTGGAGTATTGTGTGCAGTTCTGGTGTCCTTAACATAAAAAGAACATGGAACTGTTGGAACAAGTCCAGAGGAGGCCACGAGGATGATCAGGGGACTGGAGCACCTTCCGTATGAAGACAGGCTGAGAAAGTTGGGGCTGTTCAGCCTGGAGAAGAGAAGGCTGCATGGAGACCTCATAGCAGCCTTCCAGAATCTGAAGGGGGCCTATAGGGATGCTGGAGAGGGACTCTTCATTAGGGACTGGAGTGATAGGACAAGGGGTAATGGGTTAAAACTTAAACAGGGGAAGTTTAGATTGGATACAAGGAGGAAATTCTTTCCTGTTAGGGTGGTGAGGCACTGGAATAGGTTGCCCAGGGAGGTTGTGAATGCTCCATCCCTGGCAGTGTTCAAGACCAGGTTGGACAAGGCCTTGGGTGACATGGTTTAGTGTGAGGTGTCCCTGCCCATGGCAGGGGGGTTGGAACTTGATGATCTTAAGGTCCTTTCCAACCCTAACTATTCTATGATTCTATGATTCTACATGTTTTCCCTAATGTAACAAAAAAAGCTATCTATCATTTTTCCAACACAGACTTTTAGTAGAACATTTAACTGAAGTCACTGTGACGATTTTGAATTCCTTCAGATTTATTATGTGTGCATCCATTTCCAAGGCAATAACAAGCCTCACCTAACTTTGGAAATAACACTATAGCACCAGTGCAGAGATTTCAGGATCTTGGGACGATTACACAAAATGCCATTTGTATCTTCTTTGTCATGTGTCGTACTTATTTCGTATCTTTCTTATTAAGCAGTGTGGTATGTTTTCCTCACTCAATAGCTAAACAAGAAATTAGTTTGAGAGAGTTTCTAGTATCCTCAAAAGAAAAAGAAAAAAACACCAACCAAGAACTCTTACCCTCCATGTAGAATAAAAATGTATAAAGTGATGTATACTAACCAAACTCATCTTCTTTAGCAGCTTAATCAGCAACTTGGGAACATCACTGAATCAAAACTCTCATTTTCCTCTGCTCATTCTATCAACCTTAGATAAATACATTATGTCTCCTTAAAAGAAGATCAGAGAAATCTAATCTCTGACCATCTAAGCACATACCAGAAGGTCCTAAAGCCAATATGAAACAGGCTGAAGAAATACCAAGCATGGAAATAAATGCTTACAAGGCACACAGAACAAATAGTGAAGGATTCCTGACGTAAGCAGTAGTCAGAACACGCTTCTGTGTAGGATGTCTCAAATATATATATATGCACACTAAGATGCATACATAGTTCACAGTAATGATGCACAGGATTTCATGCACTAAAAATATGCACTTCTGAGGCAAAATCTTTCAGTGTTACCTTCATGTGCTGGCTCCCAACTGCCTCACTACTTGCCTGTTGCTAATGATACGGGGGTTGACCCCAGGCTTACAAATATTCTGCCTCAAAACCATTTGGAAAATACACAGGTGTGGTAGTGGGAAAAGGGACCAAACTGTTGGTATGGCTGGCAGGGCAGAGGGTGGAGACATGTAATATCTTGAAAAGAAGGAAAGTTTAAATGTCATGTGATCTATAATAAGGACTCATAAGAAAGTAAAAAATGTTGACAAGAGGAGTGGAGAAAACCTACAATGAAAGAAACCCAAGCTTCAGGTGTTGCTACATTTGAGTTAAGTTATAGTGGAGATAACCATGAAGTTTTGGAGGTCTCTAATAAAATATCTGAAAACATCAGAGGAAGACCACAAAAGGCACACAAAACTGATGGTTCATTCTGTTTGGCCCCTACAGAAGGGAAGAATAGCTTCATAGATATAAGGAGAACAAGGACAAAGATACCAAGAAGAACAGAAGTACAGCACAATACATAATTCAAAACCAGTCTGAACTGCTCATCTATTACTCTGTAGTTGCTATAGTCAGGATGTAGAGTATTAAAATTTGCAAAAAAGAATGAAATGAGTTTTATGAAACTTTTCAGATAAATTAGTTTTCCCTTTTCTCCTGCACCGAGACTGGAACAAAGGCTTCCATCAAACCATCTCATCACACAAATCAGTACGCTTATTACTTCAGGCCAAGGCAGGTAAGCTCCTCTTTAGTCAAGTGCATCAAAGTAGCTGTTCAACGCAAAACACCTGCCTCAAACAGAATAGGGAAGTAATGCAACCAAAAGAGGCACTGAGAGTAGAATGGTCCCACAGGACAAAGGTGAAACAGACGACAAAGTACAAGGCAAATGCACATTTTTAACGAAGATGGATGCTGGTGTACAGCGAATGTAAGTGAAGGGCCACACAGCACATCAGGGAGTGATGAAGTGAAGCTGATTTTTTCTCTCTACACAACAGTGCCACTCGGTGGATGGCCAACGGCAGTGAATGGAGATGCCACGCTTGGGAAAACCCGCGGGGCGGCTTCGCGGCAGTACCTGGGAGGGCAGGGGGATGCTGCGCAGGGCCCGGCAGCCCAGCATCTGCCTCTGCCTCGCCTGCTGAACAAACAACAGCGTTAGAAGGTGTCCCCAGCTTGTGCAATTCACTGACGTAAAGAGCTGCAAGTGCGGGGTTTGTCGCTGGAAGCCCCTACTTTGAACACAAACAGCATTGTGAGAGCTGGCAAAAAACTCTGGAAGTTTTAATACTCAGCACATTATACCCAGCATCCTGACATGTGCAGAAAAGCAGTGGTTTTAAGAGATCAGTTTATAGCTAAATCTAAACTAAAACAATCAAACCCATTTTGTTTCTGGTACTTTGCACTGACAGTGTCATTTTGCTAGTTTGGGAGAATAATATTCTTACTGTCAATAAGATTTCATAATTGCCTAAAAAATGTGTATTTTTTTTAAAAAGGAAAAAAAAAGCATTTGTTAACCAGTGTTTTAGCCCTTTAAGTTTTATTCAGCTCTGCTATCAGTAATGACAACTTCTCTTTCCTTCTGAAAAAGCACACTCATTTTCTAGACGCGGTTCATAATTAGTTCTAAATAAGGAGATTATTTCTTTAGGGCATATTGGGTGGCTGTGGAAATTCTGTTCATGTTACAACAAATACCACAGAAATATCAGCTCATAAAAACAAACAGTAGTCTGGAAACTCTTTAAACAGCTGATCACAGTTTTGGCAAAACTTCATCTTCAAACTGGTCCTCTAACGTGTCCTTGTGATAAACCAGCATTTACATCAAAAGCCTTTTGGATTTCAGCGTGAAAGGACCTAGAAGGAAAACTATCAGGGAAGAAGGGAAGAAGTGAAAAAATAAGTGCCATTTTTTTCTGGCAACACACTGCGGTTTGGGATTCAAAGAGCATCCAATACTTGAATGCTCAAGAACCCAGTGGAACACAAAAGGTAACAATTCTGACTTTTTTTTTTCTTATTTTTTTGTTATCAATATTTTTCAAGACAATGAACTCAAGTGACAATCCAATGAACTCGATTGGAATTCAGACTGTGTGCCAATGAATTCCTTCACTGTGTAGGATCACGAGAATATTTGAATCGTTTTCTATTAGCAGGCTACTTTGCATAACTAATCAGTAATGATACCCGATCTTCTTCTGTGCCGAGGACAGACTGAACGGGATTAATATACTATCAGGAGGAACTCAACTTCCAATTAGGTGCTGGATATTTCGTTCAACTCTGATTTGTAATGTTGAAGACTCATCTGGAATTACAGGCTTGCAATTATTTTTTTCATATTATTAGTCTGCTGCTTTTTCATTTACATTATGTAAATTCTATGTGTGTTTTTCTTGAAGCAAGTACCCAAACTTCAAAGTGAAAAATAATTACTATTGATTATGTAAACCAACCATCCCTCGTCTAGAGTATAGCACAAGCTACCCCTGGAGGTGGCAATAGGAATTGCACTTGTCACTGCTGCTGCCTGTGAGGGGTAACTCTCTAAACAGAGCTGTTAAAGCTGGGAGAGGATTATTTTGCCAGTCCTGCAAGATATTTTGTTACCAAGGACTTCTTCACACTTAATAAAAAATTAGATCAGGCAATTAATTTAATCCCTTCAAATTTATAATCTACATATTAATTTAAATTACCAGCACTACTTGAGAGTTCTAAACCTAAAAGGAGTAATACAATCTGAGGGAAATGGATGGCTTCTTTTATGACTTGGTGCCTATCAATCAGCCTTACAGCACTTCAGTCTATTATACTGTTCAACTGAGCATCTGTGAGTGTTAGATCGACTTGAAGTGCAGATGCCTATCAATTTAAATCCTAAATCCATGCCTCTGCCTATCTCAGCTAGATACCCAAGCTCCAGAAGGTTGAGCAGAGCTGAAAATACAGTGAAGAACAGGAATATCAGATAATTAGTGACAGCTAGTCAGCAACTAGGGAGCCCTATAGTTACAAACAATGCCAAATAGCTTTTAGATACTCAAAAGCTAGAGCAGAATCCAGACTTTGAAAAAAGCCAGTGTAGAAGGTAAAAAGGCATGTATAAAGTTAATCACAAAGAGGAGTGGATGAGAGCTTCTGAGGCATGAATATACTCTAAATCCTGACTCTTAATGACTGGGATAGAAGTACCCGCAACTTCTCAGAGCTGTGGGGGGTGCTCTCATTCACTGGAAACTACAACAATTTCCTGAGGTGCTGATACTGTCCTGCACAGAACTGAAAAGACTTACTTGCATTTTTAAGGCTTGATGGAGGTGGTGCTGAGTTGTTTTCAAAGGTATCTGCATCAAGCTTCAAAACAGTCTGCGTCACACTGTCACTGCAAAGAGGGTTCCTTTTTTTTCTGCTAAGCTATTCCTACATTTAAACTTACTTCAAAGACAATTCACTGGGCAGCCTTTAAGAGACTTTCTATTTACTCTGCCACAGGCAGTACACTGCTAACTGTAAAGGTCTGGAACAACAAACATAGCACTAATATGTAGAACAAACCTCACTCATCTCAACTGATTAAAGAAAGTGTATTTACGTTTTGTTGCCTTTAAATTACCCTCAAGTGTACCAAACATATAAACAGCACAGGGTGAGAAGAAGCTGCAGGTAATAAAGCACTGCAGTTCTTTTTATTTTGTCTTACTATGAAAGCTCTTTGTGCCCTACATCATAAATTTGCTCAATTTATTGACAGCTTTACCAAATCTCCAAATTCCTTTTGGTACAGAAATACGACAATGACCAAATGTAACTACAATTTTTCATACTGATTCTTCTATGGGAAATGTGAGGTGCATTTCTGCATGATGCAACATGTTAATTGTCACATACAAGTGTAAATAGGGTCATCCTTGACCAGCTAGACCAAGATTAACCTACAATCGATTCCATCTATAGAAGTTTCTTCAAATTGTACACTTATTTTACATTAAGCAGGGAAAGAAAATAACCACTTGAGGACCACTTTTTAAACCAAAAAGTAAAAAAAGAATAATGTTATATGAGAACTATGGATTTTTTTTTTTTTAAGCAAAAAAACAGCCTCTCAAAAATTGTGAAAATAATTTTATTCCACACCTTATTTTACTTCCATTGTTGTGAAGAGGATTTGCATCAGAGATTCACTGTGCTTCAGTTTCGCGTTTGTACTGCAAAACGCTTGCTGGAGCAATTTCTCAGATTATTCCCTGATTCTGAGAGAAGCTGCCTACCTGGATTTTGCCAAGCAGTTGCAGTGGCCCTTACAGATGTGCCTTACAGATGTGCTTCAAACAGATGGTTGTACCTTTCAATTCTGGTCCCCAGCATCTGCTGGGGATGTGATGCATCATGAAAGGACTACCTTTGGACCATATGGGTGCCACAGGAAAGGGAAAGAATGCCGACTTCAGATATAAGTATTACTTCCCTTCCCTTACACTTTCAAATCTGCTGAAAAATATGAAGCAATCCTATGTAATGGTTCAGGTCAACCAGCACCAGCTCTCAGAACCGCCACTCAGGATAGGTTGCTGGAAGTGGCAGGCACTGTATCACTCTACATACCCCATGCAAAGAACATACTGCCACAGGCTGTCTGAAGATGAAAAGCAGTAACACATGTTGAGTGTGGCGGAGTACAGAAAACAACTACTGAAGCTGAGCGTGTGACGCTGTTGTTTGAATAAAGTATCCTCAAGAAATATATATATATATACACATCTATAAAGGCTCGAGAAAAAGAAGTATTTACTAAGCATAGAAAGTGCAGAGGACCATCAGCAATTATTAAAAGGCAAATATATGTTATTGTTCAAATAATTTCTCAAATAAACTCCACACACTCTAAAGGGAATAAGATTTCATTTATTAAGAATTACTCTGTAATTGATCCAATTGTAAATGATCTAAATTGATAAATGTCCTTCCCTTGTATTTAGCTAATAATGTTATGCATCGGATTTGTGCCCAATAACTTCAGAAAACCTATATGAAATTAATCTTAGAGTTACAAACATGTTGCACTGAAAAATTAACTGGCTGATGTTTATTGTAACAATATAGTTTGTTGGTATGCCTGATGCAATTTCTGGTTATATATTTTTTTGAAGGTTCAAAACTTCCTATAGTATTTGTACATTCTTGAGCTAACATCGACTGCTGGATTACATTGCAAACGTGCTGTTTTACTAAGCACAGATGTCCTGAATTTAACAAAATTATGTTTGTTTTCTTTGTTTTCTCCAAATACGTACCCATTGATATATGATCAATAAAAGGACTTTCTTCAGTCCTTAAGACAGATCACATTACCACATGTTTCACCTTTACCTTTGCCCAGCTGAACTGGCATGCTTTCGGACTTCATCATCCTCTGCTGCTGTGCCTGGTGGTGGTGGTGGTGGTGGTGGTGCTGGTGCTGAGGAGCTTCCACTGCGCTTCTGATAGGCATTGCAGAGGGGGGGAAGCTGCTCCCGCCAGCAGGAGCACCCACAGCCCCTCCTGAAGCCATAGCTGGAGCAATGAGCTTTCGGCCAAAATTCAGTAGACTGTTGGAGACTTTGTTAATGTTCAGTGGGGCAGCCTTAGCACTGGCGCTGGAAAAAAAAGAGAAGAAATCATCACATCCTTGACAGTGGTGCATGCACTGCTCTCCAAAAGAATTCCAAGACTTGAACATTACATTGCACCCTTCCAATACTACAGTTGCACCATGATACACACAGGAACCACAGGGACAGCCGTGGTGTGAGCTGTTCCCAGCCAGTAGTGGACAAATTGTTTTGGCCCTTTCTTCCTGAAAATTCCAGACTAATCCCAAAAAAAGAAAGTGTGCACCAATTTCTTAATTTGCCTTTTAAAATGAAAAAAAAACAAGTAATGACAAAAAGCAGTCCAGGCTATAAAGCACCGAAAACTTTATGAAACTAACTCCTTGCACTTCTCAGCCAAAGACTGCTTTAATATTCTGTGAGGTTAAATTCTCTTAGATGTTTAAAATAACTCAAACCCAAACACTTATTTTGACTAACACCAGACTGTATTTTTAGGCTGGCAGAGACAGATGTCTCTTGCTCTTACTTCACCTCTGCCCAGCCCAGCCACTTCAACCCAAGCACTTTACAAAAGGAATCTTTATTTCTAAAGTGATTTTTGCTGAAGAATCATTTCAGGATGTAACACATATACTGGATCATGATCCTTATAATTGTTAATTTTTAACTACAGTGGCTATTTAATTCACTTTAGTTATATGCAACATTAAGAAAGAGGAAACAATCGAACCATTTAATGTTTAAAATAAAGAGGCAAAGAAGCTTCTAATTCCCAATAGAAGTGACCGCATAACCCAGGGATCAGTAAAGCCATTCCTGTTTGTTCAGGCAATATTTTCCTGTTTTATATAATTAGTGCTTGAAATACCCTTAACAGAAACATATCACAATCACAGAGACTCTTCCACTCCTGAGGTTGTATTTTACTCAGCTGTACTTCAGTGATATAAATAGCTGTCTTTAACAATTTTGAAGAAATACATGTAATTAGAAACAATACAATCATTGTACTGGGGAAAAAAAAATAGTTTTGCAATGTTTTGGGGAAGTTGAGCTAAAAATAAACTACAAATGAATTAATATGGGTGACTTGTAACTTGTGCAGGCACCTGGAAAAGTGATTTTGATTTTGCTTTTCATTTCATTTCCCTATTTGTCTCAAGATTTTTTTTAGAATACACAATATAAATGCGCACACACATATAGAACATATCCAGAAAATAACAACAGCTGAGTTGTTTAGACTCAGAATAGATACAGTTAAAATGAGACAGCAGGAGAAAGAAATGTGAGCCTGCACACTCATGAGATACAGCCCCAAGCTGCAGAGGGACCTTCTGCTATGTACTGGCGATGAAGAAGGACAGCACGTAGCATTTTTTAGGGAAGCATCAGCACAAAGAGTGGGACAAAGTGCTGCTTCCCAATTTACGGAAGCTGGAAAAGAATGATTCCTTAATGATGATTACAGAATACTTCTGTGTCTCCCCAGTTTATCGATTGCTCCTGTTACTACAAAAAGTCTTCCTGTAGCCACCTGAGAATGACTGACAAAGTCACTACAAAGAGAGCATCTTCAGAACTGTAAAATACTCTTGCAGGAGTCCCATATGGTTTCAAAAGCAAACTGAATACGTCACAATGATTTTAAAGAAGAGGACATAGTAAAATTATTGCTATTAAATTTTACACTGCCGCTACCTATCAGATCAATTTAGTAATCGGTTCCCCAAGGTAGAGCAGAGATACTTAAGGGAAAAACAGAGATCTTTTTCTATTCCATCACATAGACGTTGCATCAGAAGAGTCAGCACAGAGCCTTTTGTTTAATGCCTTCTCCATTTCAGAAAGAAAACAAAGATTGTAGATTTGAAGGTGGAAGAAGAAATGCCAAATGCTGGCTTAGCAGACCTCAGTCAATTATCAGCAATTTGACATGAATCTGATTAGATCCTGATTTCAAAGGTCATACCAGTAATAACTTAGCTGAGATTCAGAATCCAAACTTTGGTATATTTGGCATATATTTTCCTCTCATTCTGCTGAAACTAGCCACCCAAGAGTGGGTTAGTATATATCATTCACTCACCTGAAACATCACCTTAGAATTTAGTGGCTTGCACACTGAATTCAGGTTTGTGTTGTCACAGGTCTACTGCCTTGACAATCAGTAAAAAACCCTTGACTTTGCACAAAAAATGGTATTTACCAGAAGTAAATCTTTTCCTCTGACAGGCTACTGGATGCTTTGAGAAAACTGCACCATTGGAATCACGCTGGTCCACAAAGCTTACACAGAGGCTTGTATTTGTGCCCAACAGGTTGTTTCCTTCTTGTTTCTTTTTTTTTTTAGCAATATTTTGCTTAATAAGTCCTATCAGTTTTCCTTCTACACTATTTAATTTGCTGCTTTTACATAAATATAAACCAGGAAAAGTTAGCTTAATTGCATTATTCAGATGGTTGGAAAGAGACTTTTTGAGAAACTTCACTTTACAGGAACATTAAACACCAAAATTCTTCCCTAAGCCATTATTTATGAAATATGATTTAAAAAAATGCTTTCAACAATAACATGCTATCATGTTTTATGACTATTTGAAAACTAGACAGGATAGTTGTCAGAGCTCCTAATACTTGCTATGAACTGATACTGACAATAATCATTTCAGAATACATACATGAAAAATGATGATGCCATCTAAATTTCTTGTCAAGAGGTGGTCTTAAAAAAAGGCATTCTTAAGTAAAATTTGTTGTGCAACTTCTCTGAACCACAGCTTCAGAAAATGAACAATAGCGAGGTGCTGGATCTCTGGAGGAGGTATGTTAAAACTGAGCTGAAGTTCAGGAGCATAAGAACAATGTATCTGTTTCTTACCATTTAAATGTCTGATATATTAATGCAAAAGATGATTACAGTCATTAAACATGAAACAATGTCTACATTTTAACCATCTAAATGTACCAGACATGCACAACAATGACAAGAAAAATGCTGATTGATTAATGTTGTAGACTTATTAGCAGATGCATTTAAAAGTAAGGCATCAGTTTAAAAATACGAGTATCAAGGAGACGCGAATTCCACCTATGAAGGAAACAACTTTGTTCCATCACAATAAGCATCATTGACCTTGACTGTGAATGGTGTATTTTTAAACTAGCAGTAGGAAGATGATTCAATCCCTGCGGTTTTCTGCTAAGATGAAAATGTTTTGTTTTAAGCAAGGCTTATTCAAAGGCATTTCTTTCTTTAGTAGGTGGCCATTATGAGAGATGAGAGACAAATACATGAACATGACAGATTAGAAAGTTTTATATGTGATAAAATAAGCAATGTATACTAGCGATCTGCCAAGATATTTTAAATACATTATTGAGCCCGTGGAATTAAAGATGAAAAAGATCTGGTAGCTGATCTAATCCATCTCTCTGCTCACTGCAGAACCATTTGCTAATGTTACCAGTTCTCTCTTCAGTCTGTCTTAAAGAGATTTACTACACTTGACCTACTCTAAATGCTCCTGTGTTGAGATAAATTTATCCCAGTTATTTGTCTATCTGAACTATTGTAAACAATTTCTCCTCTCCTTTAGTGTGTGCCCTGTAGGTATGTGTGCAACGATTATATCCCCACATAAATTTAATGGACATCCGTTACCTCAGAATTTATATTTCCAACCGGTGTCATTCTTGTTTGGGCTTGATGATCTTTTATTATTTTTTTTTTTCCAGAATCCTTGAAATGATTCTTTTGGAATTTTCAAATAACTTATTTTTCAAATTTAGACAACTCTTGAGACTATTCATTAAAAGAATAAATGTAAACCCACCATGATATAAATATAAACAATCAAGAAAATGCAACAGAATGCAGTAATTTTTGACACACTTCCCTAACTTTAAAGCCTGCTTTTTCTTTAAAAAACATTGCTTTTGCAATCACTACTCAGCTTTAATCTCCATTTTTAAGAGCTTTTTAATCCACTCCATTTTAATTTTAGCTAGCTTTTAGTGTAACTGGTTTAAACAGAATTTGACAGAGGTGCAAAGGTTGCAAAGCCTGCAAGTTCCTATGAAACAGCAGAGACAGTGTTTGGCCAGGGCCATGGGTAATCCAAGAAACTGCCAGTGACGGTGTAAAGTGAAGCAAGGCATTGCATCTTTGCTGGCTTGCCTGGTGCCCATCAGCAGCCACCACCCACCTGCAACTAGTGACCACGTTGTGGCCACGCATGTGGGGCATAGATACCTCTATACTTGTGACCATCAGACAAAATGGCCTTGACAAGGACTTTAAGCAGCAGTGGTACAAACCATTTGTAAAACAAGGGACGAATGCTGTAAAAAGGTTTAATAAAACTTACTTCAAACTGAATTTACATTAATTCTATTTAACTTACACAGCTTCTGGTACATGGATACTCCGGACTGCAATCAGATGCATCATCAGAAATAGTTCGGCTACAGAACTCACATTGCCAGTATTTTACCTGCTGCTTCTAGTATACATGTCATTATGTATGAATGTTTTTAACCTTAAAAAATTCCTGTGAGCTGACTGCAATACTTTCATTTTTCATGTAAGAATAGGCAACGTAAAGATTCAAAATAAATGGCGTGAAATAAATACAGGTGCTTCTAATGCTGCTTATGTAATTCCTGTTTGGGATAAAAGTGACTCTGAATTATGAAAGGTTTTAGTTCAGTGAGCACATTCAGAAGTAGCTTACCGGGTTTTGTTCATCAAGTCTGCTCCACGTGCTTTGTAATAATCTAAATTTTGTTGGAATTGATGAGTCACTGGTCTTGGATTTCTCTAAAAGAAAAAATAAATTAAAAAAAAATAAAAAGAATACCTTACTGGAATTTTCTGAAAGATTTAAAGAAAACATGAGAGATACAGTCATTAATGAAGATCAGGAATGTAGAAATTTAAAGACCATTTCTTTTCCCAGGATCTTGGTTTCTCAAGGCAGTAACGCCACTTAGATATAAGTGAAGTCTTAAAATACTTAAAATAATACTAAGCGTTACCAGAAGTCCACTCCATGCTCACAGAAAGTAGTGCTCTTTCACACAGCAACGAGGTTGAGGCTGGAGTGGTAACATTTCCAATTAAATCAATAATTCTTGGACAAATTCAGATACTGATCTCATGTCTTCCTTTAGGCCAGCTGTAGAATTTTGCTAACTCCAAGGAGAAGTGTTATTTTGAAAGAAAATAGTACTAGTAAGGAGAAACTACAGCTAACACTTCGAACTGGATGTATCACTAGAAATGCCTTGGTTAAGCAAAGAATTGAATTTCGTGATACAACCCGCACACTGACACTAGATGGCACACGGAGCCTTTTTTCTCACCAAATTTCACTCTAGTCAAAACTGAGACCACAAGTTCTGCTACAACGAAACATATATAATTAATATTGAAGGCAGAAGCCACTTGTTAGTCTCTACCTCTGCCATAATGAACCTATTTCACTGAAACCCTCAGTAGTTCTGAAATCATCCTTTCCGGATCTAATTATCTGCTGAACATTAAATTTAGACCAAAGTATATGCATAAAATCTCTTGATCGAATGAATGCATCCTGAAGGATGCTATTTGGAGGGGAAAGTAAATATCTGTAAGTAAAAAAATTTTCATACAGATGAAACCAACGTAACAGAGAGGTATGTATATATACACATACACATACACATACACATACAAAAACTGGAAGAGAAACAGCTTAAAGAAATGATTTATTTCTAGTGTAAAAAAAAAAACAACTGGTAAGTTTATGCATAATAATCAGATATATTGTATAAACCAGTTCTAAATACCTTCCAAGTATTTGCTTTAAAGGTTTATAATACCTCATGTTCTGCTCTGCCTTCTTAATTCCTTCTAGTAGTAAATACAGTTTCAATCAACTACACAATGAGCTTTTTGAAATAGTCACAAATGAGAGCACGTTATATTTTTGATGGAGTCAGACTTCAGCTGTTTCAGCTTCACATATATATTTGCCCTCCAGATTTCATTATAGACTTGAGCATCCACAGTCTTAGCCTCTCATTTTCCACATAAGAGCAGATAACCCTCCTTCCTTGTAAACCTTATTTTTGGAGGAAGACACAGAAGTTGCATTTTGAAAGACCAAAATATTTCATGTGCACAACAGACTTAAAGAGGTAGTAGATATCAAAGGCCAGGATGATTTCTGGGGTCAAATTTAAGGCTGGGAATTTCCAGATAATTTCCTGCAGTCAGACTTAATCTTGTATGAAATGTCTCATTTTCTTTCTTTGGAAATACATCAAACATTTTTAAAGTATATCCTGTTTGTAATGTTCATTAAAAAATTAAACAACTAAAAGCTATTAGGCATTAAAAAAATCCTTATCTATCCTACCACCCACATTGTAATGGGTGCCTATGTTTTAATTCTCCTGTTATAAAAACAATATTTGCATAACTCTGCCCATTCACATGGCTTGTAAGTCAGCCCTCATCAACTGACAGCAATAACAATGAATCAGCTTTAGTTACTATTGCTCTAGTTTGGTAATTCAATGCATTTCTATGATAATCAAATCCAGACTGACGTGATGAGGAAAACTGATGGTTCCGCAACTCCTATGAGAGTAATAAAGCAATGTAACTTTTCTCCCAAGAATTAAATAACTTTTTTCTTTATACGTTTTGATGATCATTTCAACAAGGTGTAAGAGTAAGAGATGGTTGAAAGAATGGGCACTTCTTAGTCATAAGACAAGTCCTTTGAGGAATTCGTGCAACCAGATGCTAGCTGATTTTTGCAATTAGTTTCTAGTAACTCAGTATACATTCAAACTTAGCAAAACCATCAAAATTTCTTTTTCCACCACCCAATAAATAAAAAAGATGACCACTCATTGCTTCTGAATAAATAAAAAATAAAATAAAAAAAAAACATGTGGAACAATATCTTGAAACATATTTATGCAGAAATGACAAGCAATTCAAGACACGAAAGGCTGATCTACTATCTAAGCACTTAGAGCCATTAATACAAAAAATGATCTAACTTGAACATATTGAATGAGGCTCAAGCATTACTTTCACAGGGGCCTATTTAAATTCCTGTGAGGTTTTAAAGGTATCAAAGGAAGCAGCAGTTTAAAGTACTATTACATGCAGTGAAAGAAAAAGCCCTCAGAAAAAATGCTGTTGAAGAAAACATTAGAAATGCAAGACAGTAAATACCAAGTGTTACTGCTGCAGCTCCTTTTCTAACACAACAGAGAAATCCTTTTGGAAGATTTCATTACTCAAAAAACCCCAACCTGAGGTATATGTTATCAGACAAGTATCTGTGAAGTATCACCACAGAAATTTTAACTACTTCTGAAAACTCAAATTCTGAAAACTCAGACAGCAAAAAATACGATTTTATGAAGATGATGATCTTTATGTCATTGTGATGGTCCTTTAAATTTATATTCTTTTTAACAATTTCAATCAGTTAAATGTAAGAAGCAGAAATGAACACCTACACAATTAAAAAGTGTCTTCCTTATGAATTTAAACTCATTCCTCTCTGTAAGCGTACAATTTGAGCTGTGCCCTATTATATTCAATGTATTAGGACTGAAGGCTAAACAATTTACAGCAAAACATAGCTCTGTTGATTAAAATATTCACAGTAACCAGATTTTTTTCCCTATAGAGTGCAATTGAGAATGGCCCTATATATATCTTTAATTGCTTAAGCAAGTAAAGTTTTTCCTTTTTTTTTCAATTTGTGTTCTGACTAAGTACCTCAGATAAAATATTTGGTCTTAAAAGGATAATGTTAAAATGAGAGTGAAATCAACCCTTCCAATTAGCGGTTTGTTGAATCCCCTAAAGAAATTGTGTAAGGGCATTATACAGATTAACATATTTATGGTTTTCCCCTTCTAAGGAAAGACAGTGCAGAAGTCACAGAGAAAAGCTGCCTGCACCCATACTAGAAATCCATCTTTCTCACACCCATTTTGTAGGAGCAGTCTGCTGGTTTTATCATTCTTCTAATCTTAATTTCTAACTACAGCAATCATAGTTTCAACTGGTAGAAAATGCCCAATTTATACTTTTAAAAGGATAGTGTAAGAAATTGAGATACAGAAACACACAGAAATTGATGTGATTTTGGACTCTTTCTCTTCAAAATATATTAGTCCTGCCCAGAGGGAAGAGATGCCTTAAAATGTTTCAGGTATCTCTGAGATTCTCCTGCTTCTGAATCTGTCTTTGCCTAAAAGATGCCACCTTGTCATCTGCCTGCTTAAGTCCTCACCCCCGTCCTCCTTTTGTTCTCAGCCACCACTGGACTGACTCACTCCAGTTCCTGTGGTGTGCAGAAGGTTTTTGAGGGCTTTCTTATTTGGCTCAATTCACCTCCACAGTCATAGAAGGGACCCATGCCTGCTCTCTTCCTAAGCAGGGGGCTGAGTCCACAGTCAGCATCACACCCAATTCAGAAAAGATTCCCTAAACTTGCATAAACTGCTGAAAAGCAATTCCCAACAGCTAAGGATCGTACTCTATGCACTCAAATTCCCCAGTATAACCCTTTTCCTCCCTGGTCTCTGGAGACATACCACGTTACAGAATATTACCTACAGAACAGACAGGATATAGCAAAGCATGCTTGTGCATGACAGAAGTCACAGGCAGACTGTTCTACAACATATTAGGAAAACCAGTTACTGCAATGTAATATTACATTTCACCATCTCAATACACATTATTTGTAAAAGCTAACATGCAGATGCAAGTGGAAGAATCTCTGTAACACTCTTTCTTCTCCTTTGCTGAGGTGGTTCCTCACTTCTCTGTTCAGTATTATTAACAGGGAAAAAAAAAATCAAACACAATTTTGCACAAAGTCTGAAGGCTCAGAATAAGAGACAAAAATGAAAAAAGAATTTCAATATGTCTGAAGAAAAAATGAGACTTATTTCAGCGAACACGCTATTGCTTCAACGCCAAGGGAAAAGCACTCGTCATTAGAGAAATGAATTGCTCAGCTGTTTATAAGCAAAAAGCTCTGGGGGAATTTCTCAAGGCCCAAACCACAAAGCACTGCAGGGTTACACAAACATATGTTGCAGGTGTTTTAGGGTAGACAGGTGGGAAAACCTGAGCTACTGAAAAATACTCCACTTAATAGACTGTATCTGAAACTAGATAACCTAAATGAAACAGAGAAAAAACAAACAAAACAGCAGCAGTGAATTATACATACATGCAGCAATAAGCTAACCAAAATAATAACCTCACTAGAGCCAAACGGGATTTTTTAAAAGTACTTTTTTCTTTATATTAAACAAAAGTTGCCAAATACAAATTTTTTTTTTCTAAAAAATTAATATTTTAAGCCTGAACCAAAGAACAGACTGAACTAAACATTTTTATATATAAGAAAAGGATAATGGTGCAGTGTTGTTCTTTTTATGAAAATATTTTTAAGGAACAGTTTGTTCCTTTTTTTCCCTCTTTAGCTGACAGGGCAATATTGGTTTGTTGTTTTATTCATATTTCTCATACAGTCTTAGGTATTTTTGTATTGAATTCCTAATGTTTTTCCTTTCATTTGTTTCTAACGGAAGTTGGAGGAGTATATGACTCCTATATTCAGTAATGACTGGGGTTGTCAGCAAAGGTTTAGCTTTTCCTTCTTTTATCACCTATGATTCTTTCTTCAATAAATATGATACAAACATGACAAAAATCTGGCCTGGGGATAGAGCTGAAACATAGCAGCTGAAGCGTGGATCAGGAACACAGTTTGCGCAGTTTGGCAG